GAGTACCAACACTTCTTTTCAGAACCCCACACACTCAAAAAATATATCCATGGTGCTACCACCAACCTATCTAGTCTACTTGCTACCTCCACCATGAAATGCTTCAAATCTCACAAGGCATGGCCGACAGGTGAAACAGCCACGTGTCACGACTTGGGGCACTGTGCGTAACCTGTCGTGGTAGCAAATATTGCCACGGTGTTGAAACATTTGGAGGTTGCAGTAAGAGGAAATATTGTACAAATACTATTCAAAGAAACTTATTTCTAAGAGGTCAGTGTTTGTGGCGTTTGGCTGTACATCAAATGTTGACCGCTTTATTTCGCCTTCCAATTTTCAGTCAAATAATATGGTCAAGGAATGAACCGTCCGTGAGTCGTACCTGTAGGTGGCCCTGATGCTCTTGTCTGACGGATGCAGGGGCAGTTTGTAGCCCCACTGCCCCACCATCTTGAACCTCTTGGCATGCCAGATATGGGTCTCCAACCAGGCGTGGCCGCCCTGTCTGCGCTGGTACTCCGCCTTCAGGTTACTGGGCCGGCGACGGTGACGGCGCGATCGCTTCGCCGGGGGCAGGTCTTCCTCTGCCCCGCCCTCTTTGCCCTGACCAGCCTTCTTCTTGTGCATGCTTTTCTGCATCTTGAAGATCGAAGGAAACAAATATCAAAGTAATTCTATCGGTCTCAATTAATGCAGTGCTGTTGCCATCGCCACTGTAATGACCATGCATGCAGCCTTCCATGCTGCTACAATGACCTTGTTACAACTTGAGGTATCAACTTGGGCAATGCAGAGCTCAAGGTCCTAACATCAGGTTAATCATAGCCTTGACAGACACATCAAATGACAAGTGCAATACCCTGTAAGATCTTGCTGAACTGAGCAGTCAACAGCAGAGGAATAAACCGCCAGTGTTGCGGTAATGAGAGTTAATTCCTTTGCAGAGTGTTATATATGGAGTCCTCTGGGAGCTGGCAATAATGAGACTCTTCAGCCATAGAGTCAAGAGGATAGCTGACCTGTTGAATCTTGTGCAACTCGGCAGGGGTTTACTAAGAGTGTTGCATATCGTTTGTTCAACAAGGTACCTTGCCAAATATCAGTTCACTTCAGTTCATTTTCCACTTATGCATGTCAGAGGAGTACATAAATTAAAACATTTGAATGGAACAATTAATTAACAATAAGTGGAGGTCTGCAAAAAGCAGAGCTTGTAAACCGGAGACCCCATAAAAATTGTTTACTTACACATTGTTGAAAATGACATTACATAATTATGGTGGCAAAAGAAGTACACAGTATTTAGGTTAATAAGGTAATGCCACACACAAAGTGACGTAAGAAAAATCTAACAACGGACACAAAACAACAAGAAGAGGCTAAGGGGCTAACAAGTCCATAAAAAATGATAACAATTAGAATGAAGAAATGAAAATAATATAAAACACTCGTCTATATCTATCCACAAGCCAAACTTTAAGTTCCTAAAGGAAAACTTAAAAACTTTAAGTTCTTAATATCCTAAAGGGTTGAGGTTAAGTTACATGCATTGGGGTAATATCCTGTAAGCATGTTCATAACTGCGTTCAGGGCTGCGGGCCAAGTCCATCACAAGTCCCTCACAAATCATTCAGTCTTAATCCAAGTCACAAGCTATTCAAGTGAACTGTGACAAACTCTTCGCCCCGTTATTTGTGACTGGTCCTGCGATAGGTCTTGGTAACTTGGTTTTGTGAAAGGAGTTTTGAAGAGACTTATGAAATAACTTGCAATGGATTTGATTACAACACTGATGCTGTGTGTGACGAACCAAAACGAAGTGGCAACTCACTGTTCTCTCTTCAGAATCTCGCAGTCTCTTGGGCAGTCGTCGCAGGTCATGGCTCATGGCCCGACGTCGCAGATGGCGCGGCAGCTTTTGGAAAGTCCTGCGCATGCCCCCCATGGTCATGACGGCCTCCGTCATGGTCTTGAGCTCAGCCGCGCGAGCACCGGCAAACTCGGCCACATTGATGGCTACAACAAATTGAACAGCGGTGCTAAAAACGGACACCATCGCAGGAGAACTGATACTTGAGGCATTCTTAAGATCATTCATAACACCGCGCATACACACACACAAGTGCATACGTAATGTGGATGTTATGCCCCAACTACAGCATCTGTCCCAACTATAGTTGGGCCCAGTTGGGAGAGACCCAACTGAAGTTGGACCTGACCCAACTACAGTTGGGTCTGCAGTTGGGACAATGCTCTAGTTGTGGTGTGACATGGCAATTCCATTGTTTTCATGAAGCAAAGAGAAACTGGAGCTGACTCATTTTACTTGCCCTGTGAACATTTTTCAACCTGCACATTTCCATCAGCATTTCCTTTACCGCTCCTGTTTTTACTTGGTCATATACATGTGGGGTATCATTAAAATTTAATATCCACACTAACAAATTCCTCCACAATTCTTTTCAGAAAGTGAAATTCTGTACGGACCTGTGCAAGGTTTTGCATAGGTCTTTCATTTCTGACGATATTCACCTCAAACTCACAGCACATAAAATGCAAACCTGTACCAGTACAGTTTTTGGTTGATCGAAGTCACCCACCTTTTCAGAGGGATTCAACCATGATTAAGTCAACAGGCCTATCCCCTCCCACCACGCCCCCACCATGCCCACAAACGCACAAACACTTACCCCTCGGGTTGATAGCCAAAATATCCTCCTCCCTGGCAGCTGGTCCCTCTTGGCCCTCCATGACAGTGCGCCTGCTCTTCTCTTATCCCTCAGAATTTCAGGGAAACCTGACACGCCTGGTGACATGATGGAATTCAAACCATGGAGGAATAACTCCCACCAAGAATGATGGACAAACCAGCACTAGCTCATGATTACATGTGACTGCCTGTATGTTTCAATTTTCCCTGCTAAATTGAATTTTAAGACATGTAATCACTTTATGATGGCTAATAAACCACTGCAAGGGAAAACTGGAGATGTTCGTATTTGGAACTCTTACCCACGCATCTAATGATGTAATCTGTATGTATGAATTCCAATGACACAAGCTACTGACGCCTTGCACCTTGGCCATGCGCCTTGTACATGTATCATAGAGTTCCAACTTCCCTAACGTGGCCCATTTCAACATTTCCCTTGACTATCCTCATGTGGTGTTGCCAAAATTCTTCAGTGAGAACTTCAAATTCTCTCAGTTCAAAATACAATGAACTGGATGGGCCCTGGGGAAGAGGGACGAGGCCTCTACCATGTCTACTGGTTACTAGTGGGCAAGATTGCACACAGTTTACTTTAGGGCCTATCATGCCTACCCCCGTCCTCAGTCTGCAGTATCCTTGATCTACCTATTTCTGAATTCTGTGCACCTAAGGCTTTGAAAAGAGATTACCAAAAAAACCACATTGCAGTTGAATTTTTCCTTTTCACAACTCAAAGTCTGTCATTCATGTCATTGAAGCAATTCACAAAATTTCAGATCTCTTTGTGCCCAGGAGTAGGCAGCTTTTAGTGGGTTCGACCACAATTCCTGCCTGATCTATGCAGCTGAAGCTCTTTGAAATCTACGGTAACTGGTGACGAAGACGTGCTACACAAGGAAGATATATTTATTGAAAGGGTGAGTCCTGGTGTTTGGCATTGCAACAGCTCTTTGACTTTTTAATAACTTTCTTAAATAACAGGGAAATGAATATTAATAAAGAATGATATTTTTACCATATCATGAGGTTCTTCGGTCATGTCGGTCTGTCAATATTTAACATTCCTGCATAACAGATTACATGACAATTAAAGTCCCCTGTGTCCTTTGTCTGTTCTGTTCCTTGCTCTATGGTTTTGACAGTCTTCACTGACGTTAGCCCAACACTATTCATTGCTATTCCGCATGACTAAACACTTCATATGGCATCCCACCATGCCCGGCCCACCTACATACATGCAGGCCCTACACTATCCATAATCCTTAGCTTGCTCTATGTCCTTTGTGAAATCAGCCTCAGGCATGACACGTGTCTATGGTGTCAAGTAGAAGTTATATGTAGGTGTAACATGAAGGTAGAAATAGCCGGTCATCTCGTACTCGAGTCATCTCGTACCCAAGTCATCTCGTACCTAATACTATATCGGTGTAGCATTCAGCGGCAGACGTAGAAGAAGCGCATTTGATGATTTTTTTCAAACAACACAAACCTTTCTAAAGGAACTGCAGATAGGCCTATTCTCCGACTTTTCCCACACATGAACTTTTGTTGAAGATGCTATCAAAGTAGGCTACCAGAATTGCAGAAACACAGTTGGCCTAGTCAGTGTTCCATACCACCATGAAAACACTTCTCGCGCGCACACCGTCAATTTGATAGAGCGCCCTCTTGAGTCATCTCTTCACAATTGGCCCTGCCGCGCGCGCCGTGTCAACCGCGCGAGTCGAGTACCGCCGTACAGCTGCATGCAAGGAGTTGCATTGCGGTGGTGAGAACGTATCGAAATATAATCCGCCTATTTCAAATGGTAATTTGTCTCACAAATTCCATATTCACGTGAAGAAGTTGGTCACTACGAAAATGTAAAGTTGAGTAAACCATGAACAGGTTCCTTTACAAGGTTAATGAAAAGTTTGGAATTATTTTTTCATACACATTACCGCCGTATCGGTATGCTGCCTCCAGTCAGTGGAAAGTTAGGCAAAAAATTGACCGTAATAGGGAAGTTACGAGTTAGTCAACATTTTCTTGACCTGACAGCAAAGTTAGGCAAAAGATTTCCTCACCATTGCAGGCCCAACAGACAGAGCTAGCCTAAGACAAGCCTTTAAAAAAGAATCAGAGAATCATGCATTTATGGTCAGCCGATAGGTATTTAAACTGGATAGCTTGCTGGCTTTGTGATAGACACTGCTGCTTGGCCAAAGAGGAAATTTAGTATGTTTCATGACCATAAATATCAGGTGGATGAATGGGCAGCAAAGCACATTTTCATCATGACCACAGCACAGGTCTTTATCCTTGATTTCACAAGTGTGAGACTCAAGTAGGCCTATTTCAAGTTAGCGTCATGCCAGCTCACACCCACATGAGATTAGTCACGCCAAAAAAAAAAGATTGAAAAAAAAATATATGAAGAATGAATGAGAAACTAGTTTACCCAAAGCTCTAATTTCTATGTCAATCTTGTCCTTACCAACCAATAACGTCCAAGGACAGATCCAGCGTGAGGGACAATGGAGGCTATGGCACTCCCCCCCTCCCCCATTCAGGGAAATGAAAGGCAATTGTTTCGGTCAATTTCATTCCCTTTCCTTTAAAAGGCATGTGAAAAGACCCAAGAAATAGCCTCAACTTGACTCTCACATAGGCCGTAATAAAATTCCTAATTATCAGCCCCAACCCAAAAAGTCCCCCCCCCGCCAAAAAAAAGAAATATGGTTCTGTGTCCATGTTTGATCATTAAGGGTTTCTGGCAAAAATGAACAATTTAATGAGCTATTACTGGTCACAAGAAGCAGTAATTATGTGGGACTGGACACTGGTTTAACAAGAGCGTCCAGAGCCAAGGTCAAGTCTATATGTGTCCATTTGCAGGCCATGCCTTGATTCCCCACACACACACACCACTAGTGCACTCCCAACCAAGTCTCAACCTAATCTCTTCCGTTTGGCAGACCATACGTGACTGCAATAATCATTCTTGACTAGTCTTCTAAATAAAGTTACATGAGCCAACGGCTTCTTTATTTAGTTCATATGGTACACCACATTACGGTCATTTACTGTAACTGTCAGACTTGAAAAAAGGTTAATGCTAACAATTTAACATTAATAGTGAGGATATAGTAAAACTTGAGGCCAAGTGTTTCTTTATGTACAATAACACATTTTATACCCTTATGTTGGTTCCAAAACATGTATTCTTGAGAACAACCTAAGTAGTGTTAAATACTTTGGGGTAACAATCTGGACAAAAGCGAAATCCTCCGCATGTGCACAAATAACATCCAACAAGCAGGGGTTTTGTAACAGTTGGCAATGACATAAGAAACTAGTCATCCCTGTTGGAGGCGATATTTATAACCGACCTAACATAGGTCATTTCAACACAACGGAGCAGCTCGATGGCATGCATGCTGCTCACACATACATTTGTAGCACAGCTGCCTGGTCAGATCTGTATTGCAGAGATCTTTCAAGATAAAAGTACTACACCTCAGCTATCCAGACAAGGTCAAACTATTTTTAGACATCAGTCCCAGCCATGATTCATTCAACGTACAGTAGACACCAATTTGGTCTATACATGTGACTGGCTCGAGGCTATAAGCACTATGGGATGGTTTGCTACGTTGGGCAATGGCAATGGCAAGTGGCTGCAGGTTTTTCCACTTTTGAATCTTTAGTATATGCTGTGATGAAACATTCAAAATGGTTCACCAAGTTTGATCACAATAAAACTGTTTTAAACTACAATTACGCAAGAAAAAGCTTTAGCCTGTCCAAAATATGAATTTTGCCTTTTTTTTTTCAGCAGTCGTGTGATTCCAAAATCCTCTAAAGGATTTGAGAATTACATGTATATGCCTTTGAAATGGAAACATGCAATTTAACAAGGCAGAAATCTTCTAAGGTTAATTTATCCAAGCCTACAGCGTACGTGGGGTCCGGGTTAGGAAACTATTTTTAAAAATGTCTTGAAACGTTGCACATTTCCATTACTTTGTATGAAAATAACACACTAGAAAGGAAATTACTTGTTTCAGTTACGGTGTATAAAAAGAGCCATCAAAATGTAGCAGATTATACCGTGAAATCCATGGACACATGAACACGCCAACTAGTCATGATTTTGGAGAGGAAGTCCAACGGAAGAGACGTCTGTGATAATCTGTACTTGCTACCTGGTCCCACGAGGCAGGGACGGAATGGAAACCTGAGACTATAAATAACTTGGATGACACAATCAAAGAGATGGATTTTAAATTCTTGGTAGCACTGTACTTGATAACTACAGCTGCATTTGATGGTCTCATTTCCTAGTAATGTATTTCAGTTCATTTAAGTCAATCTACGTTCGTTTATCTTCATTTTAAGGGAATTTTGGCATAATTTCTTCATATCGAGTTTCCTTTTACCAGTAAATTGTCTTAACCACAGTACTGTTGGCTACACTTTCGAAGGAAAAAGTTAACATGCTTTTCACAATTCCTCGTGTTAAAACCTGATGATGTTCTTGGCAACCTGGTGCACTTGTGCACTGCCCACCTACTCTAATAACTCAGGGCAGAATCTACCATGAGAAATGAGTGATGCTTGGCGTTTCGGCCTCACCTCGCCTCTACACTGTAGGAAAGCAAAGCACAGCCGTTATTCTTTAAACATTAATGCCCCTCCCCCTTTTACCCAAATGCAGGGGCGGTCTTTATTTACATTTTGGAACATACTGGTACTGACTTCTGCACTGAAGAGAAAAAAAAAAAAACCACTTAATTCATGAAGCAGCACCAGTCTGGGGCAGACTGTGGAAAGCATAACAATGTACTCCACTTTACTGTGCTACATGTATGTTACATTCTGGGCTCCATCATCTACAGGTGAGTTTGAAACTTTATGCTACTTGGCATCCCTTGGATCTGGCAGGATCGCTCTGAGCTGTCGCCCTCTGTTTCACAGATTGGCAGTCTTGGACTCGCTGTACAGTTCTCACTCGGCGATGTAATAAAAACCTGATGCTGAACGTGATAAGGGTTCACTGCTACTACTTTTCTTAGGTTTAAAAAAAAAGTCTGGACAGACCACTGGCTGTCAGAAGTGAAGTCACTGTCCTCTATATTGCCACAATCTGTAGATCGGTAAAGGTTTTTTTCTGAATGATGGGAGCAGTTGAGACTGGTTCCCTCTGCACATTACAATGTAGCTAGGGTTCAGCAACCAGTGTGTAACTTCACTTTTGTCGACAGCTCGGAATGGCCAGTGAGTTGCCCAGACTTTTTTCCACAGAAATCAGTGGCTGACACCACCAAATGAACTCACGTTCACTTTCAGACTGGTTCCTTGCCATCCACTTCACTTCACAGGCTACTCAGTAACGGAAGTAACTAGCCTGCCTCACTTCCTTAATATAATACACGTTACCAAAGGTTAACACTGACATGCAAATACCCTTTCATTGGTCCTCTATGTTACACAGAGCCTGTGTTCTACAGACAACATGGGGAGAAATAAGGATTTATCACTGGGTATTTCAGAAGTTGTCTTCATAATGTACTGCTGGTCAAACAGTGATGACATATCCGTACGGTTGAAGCGTTCACTGTATTTGATCAGCCTTCTCCTTAAAAGCCATGCACTGGCTATCCTCAATATCACTCTGCCTTTTCGGCTGCATCTTTGCCTTAAGATATGTACTTTCACAGATTCCTTTCAGATACAAAGAACCACCCTCCATCAAAGCAGGCTCCCCACGTTATAGGAGGGAGCTTTCGAGGAGTGTAGCAACCTGATGTTTGGTGAGGTTATTCATGCCTCCTCCGCACTCTTCAGAATGAGAATGGCATTGTAGATCTTGAGCGCCGGCCCGAGTTTGATGGTCATGATCTTGACGATGTCCGTCTGCGTCAGAAGCAAGAAGGCCTCGCCATCGATTTGCTGAGGGGAAAAAAAGTGGACAAAAATAGGAAAATTTGCAAAACATGCCTTGCTTTTGTACCTCCAATTCAGCAGCATCCAGGATCTGGAGGACGTTAGTTTTGTTCCAGTGTTAAATGTTTGAAAAATCATTTTGGCACTCTGGACAGAGCTGACGAAGACAAAGATGAGATCTGTAACCTCCCCTTGGAATTCTTGAATCAACATCCACAAACTCTCTCTGGAAATTTTTCCGAATCTCATCTTCGTCATCGTCTCCTGACTTCCCCTGATTCTGCACCCACGTCTAGGAAATTCAGACTCAAGAAGAAATCGTGTCTTGCTGAAGAGGCGTCGAACAGTATGCTTTCAACTAAACAAATGAGGTATTACCATTCAGTCTGAACACTACAAGTGGTTTTAATGTACGACGGGAATGAAGAAAAACCCGCTCTCTCTCGCTTTCTCTCTCTCTCACCTCCTCGGCAAACTTGGAGGCGTGGTCGCCGCAGCCCGGCAGCTTCCGCACAAAGTCGGCCACCTCCTCCGTGGACCACTTGGCCACGGTGCTGCAGGACAGGTTGGCCAGGCCGGGCAAGAGCTTGGAGTGCTGTTCCCAGCAGAGGGGCAAGTCCCTGGCCGGGTTGGGTGACATGGCAGACATGAAGACCGACTGGTGCAGCTGGTGGTGGAGGTTGGTCTTGGACGATTCTACACAAAGGGGAAGAACGTCTGGGATTATTAAAGCAGGGACAGAGACAAGAGAGGCACAGTTGTAGTTGAGGCCTCTTAAGACCATCACAAGACCCCACAAGACTATCGCAAGACCATCACAAGACCCTACAAGACAATCTCAAGACCATCACAAGACCCCACAAGACCATCTCAAAACCAACACAAGACCTCCAGTCTGAATTCAAGTCACAATTCAAATGAACTGCAACAAAAGCATTCCTTTTGTCAATGTTCACCCTGTTACTTGTGACTGGTCTTGTGTCTCATCTCGAGTCTGTTCTTGTGTCTAGTCTTGTGTCTGGTCTTGTGATGGTCTTGACTACAACACCAATGAGAGGGACAGCATAAAAAAAAGATGTCCATTTGAAACATCTCGCTTGATTTGCTGAATACCCATTGCGAAATTTAAGAAGTAAAATCTAAACCCTGCTGTCTCACAATCGCCTCTTAATTCCGTCCATGATTTTAGTCCAACAAGAGCCAATCAAAATTCATTTCACCACAACAGAGGCACAGCAGAACCTCAGAGGGAGGTTCATACCCTACCAGGTGAAAGCGGTGCTTCCATCCTGAGACAACTGAAAGCTTCCACCATACTTTTTTCTTCCCAACCCCTCACAGAGTTTTGGGCCTTGTCTGACTTACTTGACTGAGGCTGCGGCTACTTCTAATAAAGTTGTGTGAGTAATTTCAAGACCAGTATTCCCATCATGGCCTCACATGTACAGAAGAAGTAAGATTTTGTATAGACAGCAATACGATGGAGACTGAATAATAATTGTTGGCGATGACACTATCATGCAAGGTTATATAATTGACTCTTCTCTAAATGTACTTTTTGTTTCTCCATTGTGTGGGCTCAAAACTGCTCTTGTTCAGCACGTTCATTTCTTGGACTTACTTTCATCCTTGTCTGGGTGGGATTTCTTCTTTTTCTTTTGTGGCAAGAGAAGGGAAGTGCCCTTGTGCCTGTTTAGATGAGAAATACAATCCATAAATTACAAATGACGCCGCAGACAGGGAGCGTCTGTTTAACAAAAATGACTGTTACGCTTTGATTGAGAACAAAAAGCTAAAGGAAGAGAGAACAAAACGCAACTCTGACAGCTCCAGAAATTTGCCCTGCTAATTTTTTACCACAGCTTTCTTGTTCCACAAAGATTTAATTTTTTAAGTCGGTGATTCGACCACGAGGTCATCTAAGTGGAGCGTTGATAGCTTTAATCACAGGAAAAAAATGACAAGGTAAGTGATTAATGTCTGTGTCAATACGGGTGATTCACAATAGTGCACCTCCAAGAGTTTGCAAGGCATTGACCAATCACAATGCCCAAAATCTGTTGACCCAATGCGCGTTTGGAAATGGTCGACAGATTTCACGCATTATGATTGGTCAATGCGTTGCAAACTCTTGGAGGCGCACTATTGTGAATCCCTTGTATTAAACAAACAGAAAGTGCAACACAACTTGCAACTGTCACTGAAAATGCTTGACACAGGTTAAGACAAGGGATCATTGAATACATTATAGTCTTTGATTTCAACTTTTTCCACATTTTCTTGATCTTCGGCCCAACCACTCAAATTTTCAATCTCACACACAATCTGAACACACATACATTTCTATCAATGCAAAAAGTGAATTTTGAATTATTTTTCCTGGACCTACCTACCAACATTTAAAACTAAAAATCCATCTTTAAATCGATCATTTTCAACAGCTCCAAAGACGCAGAGGTCTTCTTACTTTCGCTTGCCCCTTCCCAGGGCCAGGGGCAGTGGGGGACGGCCGGGACCCCTGGGGCTGGGCGAGGGGGAGGGGTTCACCAGCTTGCCCTCGCCACCGTTCACGACATTCAGGTTCTTCTCGTTCAGCGGGCAGCCAGACAGCTTGTGATGGCCCGAGTATTTGCCCGTCACGTGGCCGGAGCCATCGCAGCCAGGGGTGGGGCATTTCCTAGTTAAAAAAAAAGGGGGGAAGCGCATTCAAAACATTCAAAGTGCAAAGTTTGATTACAAAAATTGCCCGCATTTATGACCTTCCAGATAAGTCAAGTACAGCTGCCTGCAATTCGCTCTTTGCACGCTGCCGCCATAGGCATGCAGAGCCTGGAACTGGCAACTTGTACAGTCACGTCAGAATTGCGCCAACGCAGCTTTTTTCAATCGCATGCACGGGAGCACTGAGCCAGCTTAGTGATTTGTGTAAAGCTGCCAGACTGAGGCTCTGCATGCCCATGGCGGCAGCCGGCAAAGAGGGCATACAACAAGTGTCCCTTCAGACAAATTTGTATACTCCAAGTTAACGACTGTATCAGCAACTGACAAAATTCATACTCAAAGTTAACTACTGTATCAGCAACTGACAAAATTCCAACCTATTGTTTTTCCACTCTTTTGAAACCAGATATAGATGCCATAGGGTTCAAGGAAAACTTCTTCATCAGAAATCCATCTATACCGCAAAAGCTATGGATTTACGGTATCAACTGAAGTAAACCAACTTGCTTAGGGACACAACCTGATGACAACCAGACAGAACTCCAAGGACCAGTGAGTTCAGACTCCAGTGCAAAGGGGCCACATGAAGAGGCTCTATGCACAGTTTGCTATTATAAACTTGGACGCTGCACTTTCTTCCACCAACTCACTTTGTCTCTGGTGATTCGGCCGGTGACTTCTTCCCGTCCTTTGACAATGACTTGGAGCCTGTGTATAGTCGATCGATTAAGGTCGTCTCCTTGGCCATATTCAGGAGGGAGTACGGGCACCCAAAGGCGCTGCCAAGTCAACAAATTACACCACAAGTCTGTGAAAGTTGCACATGTACGGCTACGCCAAGGACTTCCAGTTGTGTATACCGTGCAGAACACAAGCACAAAGGGTGGATGGGGGGAGGAGGTGAATGAGGGTTCCTCAGGAGCCCCCTCAAAAATCGTTTTTGAAAATAATGAAAGGGTTTTGGGGGGTCTATATCATTTCCCGTCCTTCCAACACCATGTAGAGAGTCCCACAATATAGCCTCACCCATCAGAGAGGCAATAAAAGGTTGCATGAAAAATTTCGAAATTTGTTTGGCCCCCCGGAAAAGTTAGTTCTTGATGTGCCCATGACAAACGCGTGCAAGATTCTCTGTGAAATATTCATTCAGGGCTTGAAAACTGGAATTGGAAACTTTGCCCACAGAAGTTTCTGCACGTAAGAAGTACAAAAACTATTTTATGAAACTGAAACAAAAGGCTTCTAAAACACTCCTCTGTCTGACAAGCAGTGATATAGGGGACTAACTATCTTACAAACACGACTGAGCCGTAACGAAGCGACAAACCTGTGATGTCCAGTGTATTTGGCCCCCTTGATGTGACCCACTCCGTTACATCCTGGGGTAGGACAACCAGCTTGCCTGAAATACCGAAAAAGGGAAAACCGCAGGGTCAAAGGTTAAACCAGTCTTCAAAAAGATCCGAGGTCAAACACATGAAAAGGGAGCGTTTGTTCAGGATGATTTTTTAAGGAACAAAAGCTGGCACTGCATCTCCTAACGAGTTCTCGTGCACCTGGTCAACAGAAGAGATAACCATAGCTGCCCACTCCACCAACATGAGTTTGCTGCCTTTGCACTCATGATTTAACAATAATATGTGACCCACGCCGTCATAAGGCCATTCTTTTCAGAAACTTGACTTCATTTAATAGAAAGAGCAAGCTCAGCTCCCTGTTTGATGTGTTCACTCATTTAAGCATCCTCATGAGTGGATAAAAGATGTTGACGGTTCGTGTTGATTTCCACACAGAAGGAATTTTTCAAAGGCCTGTTTACTCCAAAGTGGTTTTGGTGACTTGTGACTCATCTTCACAGAGCAGGTCACCTATCTGCCCTGCGCAGGAAAACAGATGATGTTGTCAGTGAAGGGCAGAAGCCGCAATATAAGAGATGGTGCGATTTCCCATCCAGCGTCATCCCTTTGGAGGGGACGCTCCACATGAACGCATGAGTTCATACATACTTAAAACAAGTTTTGACATTTTAAAATTTACTTTGGAGTTTCTACATGCGAGTATACCACGTCTTATTCTTAGAGATAATAACAAAAGATATGAACATTATAAACCAGCACTGTAAATCATTGTAGTTTTTTTAGCACAAACGTTTGCTTTTATTTTTGGGACTCGAGTCTTTATTAAATTTCACTCATGTCGGGTCTTCTGAGGGGCTTGAGTCAAAATGAGTCATTTCCTTGCAGTGACTCAAGTCAAGACAAGTCATTTACCCATCGGGACTCGAGTCGAGTCAAGTTGCCAAAAGTGCAACATGAGGCAGACTCGAGTTGAGACAAGTTGCCATAAGTGCAACATGAGGCAGACTCGAGTCAAGTCATTACGACTCTGAATACTTCCACACAGAACCGACATACTTACCCTTGGTTGGCGACCAGCTGGGAGGGCCGGATGGGAGGGACCAGCGGGTGGCCTGTCTTGTTGCACCAGCCCACTGGGTGCAGGTCAGGACTGTCGTCGTCCACCATGATGTCATAATCGTCCGTCCAGCCATCAAAGTGCAGCCTGAGCCGGTGGCCGTCCAGCTCGGCCACCGTGGCCGCGCGGATAAGGGAGGGGTTGCGCATGTCCACTGCCTCCAGCCGCATGCCGACTTCGAAGCCGACAGGTGGCCGCTGAGATTGATGAGCATACAGATAATTAAAAAGCAACTGATCAGTTCAGTGAGATGAGATGGAGTGCACTGTGTCCCCCGTGGTTGAATGATCTGTGTTTATTCTAAGACATTTCACCACCTGTCTCTATAACACATTAGAAGTGCGCAGAGCATGCCCTATAAGAACACCTCAAAACCCCTTTTTCATGTCTGAGGTTTGGTCAGAGGTGGTATCATTTACCAAGCTGCAGTATTTCGGTGGACCATTGTTTGTGCAACAGCAAAGCTTCTGGGTCTGCCTAACCGTGGACAATACACAGACTGAAGATCAAGTCCAACACAGTGAGTAAAACCAAAATGGACAAAAAAAACCCTGCCATGATCATTTTACAAGCCGTTGAACTTGATATAACTGAACAAGCTTGTGGCAAACCTCATGACTACTTACCGGTTTGAATGCTCTGGTTGGCACAGCAACAGACTTCGTTCTAGCCAAGTAGTCTGCCCATGTGAAGTTGACGATGTCTTCATAGTCTGTGGTGAGATGTTTTAATCAAGTAATAGCGATTAAATATGTCTGAATTTCAGGAGGCGTCAGATTGTTTAGCCTGAATCACTAAACCTAATTCAAAAAGTGATGACACCCTAAACGATGTAACATTCATTTTTACAAGTGCTGAATGAACATGGTTCCCAAAATATACCATTCAAATAAACATGCATGCATGCTTGTTGAAGAAATACGTGTCTTGAAAATTGACATGAAGTAAACTAAAATGACTTGGCCTGACAAAAACAACCAAAAACACTTAAGACTTGGCATTTAATGTTATTTCGCAACTAAATTTGAATTAGGAAACTGGCTTGGTTACAGCACTGATTTTGTAAGGTTTTTTTTCACAGTATCATGGTATTTTACTTAATTCCGCAATGACGTATCTGAGACGATGAGAAACTGAATATCAGAACAAGGAAAAGTCAGTATAGTTACCATTGGGCGGAGACAGGATTTTCCCGTTTTCTTCGCACCAGCCCACGGGGTGGATGTAGGGCGAGGAGGAGTCGCACCAGTAGTCGTACGTGTCCTCCCAGGCGTCAAAGTGGATGAGGAAACGGCTCTCCATGATATTGGCCACGGTGGCCACGCAGATCAGGGAGGGGTTCTTCTTGTCGATGGCCTCCAGCTTCATGCCCTTGCGGAACCCCTGCGGGGTCACGCAGTCCTGAAGAGAGAGAGAGCAAGGAGGGTGATGCTTCCTTTAGGACAGAACTTTCCTCGGTATGATGGTCAGGAGGGTCAACGACAGAGATGAAGCCGCATTTTTTTTGGGGGGGGGGATGAAATTTCGCCAGACTTTTTGCAATGGAAATCTGAAACAAAAACCTGGGCTTGCCTGGGTTTTCCGAGCTCCACTTCTAGCATTTTAAAAACCAGTGTCTCATCAAGCCCAAACGGGCACAAAGCCTGCTCCAGCACGACCCCAGCTAAATGAAACCAAGGGATTAGCACGACAGTAGCGTTCACACTTGGCCAATCTGGGATTGGGACAATTATACACAGGCTCCGTACCAAACAACTCAAGAGGCCAAAAGATGAATGCAGGCCACCAGGGTTCAAATTGGTGTCAGATAGGACCAAAGTATGTGGGTCATCGGGAAAATGGGAAACACCATTTCTTACATTCTCGTAACTCTTGAACAGTGACCTTGGAGCCGCTTGTGACTTTGTCATCTTGAGGTAAGAGCTCCAACTGAAGTTGTCAGCCGTGAAGCCTGCCAGAGTGTGAAAGATAACAAATACTCAGGTGTTGAAAGAGATCCACAGACACCTGCTCCGAGTAAGTCGGTGGGTGATGATGCCCATTACCCGGGATAGCCCCAATTCAGAAACTGGAGTAATGTACGATTCCTCCATCGTCGTTACCGCAAACAGCTTTATATGCACCTCAATGTAGACGTAAAACAATGCAGACCTTTGCAACACATGCAATGTGCACACAAAAACAAACATATATAGAATTCAAGAAACGCCTTTCAGAGGGGCACAGGCCACGTCCAAATCACTCGGCTGCGGCTATGCTTTGCACACGACTCTATGGGCACTAGCTGCAGCCGCTATCATAGACTTGTGTGTAATTTCAGGCTGCAGCCAAGTGATTCAGACAGGGCCACACAAACAGAAAGCCTGCTTGCCCAACTAGCACAACACAAAGCATACTTGGCAGTACTCTCACCATTCCAAATTAACGCACAGGCCCACTTATCACAAAAAGAACAAAAACAACGCAGGAAGCAAACTTAGGATAAGAAAATAAAAAGGCCAAACTTTGACATTAGCAGGAGACAAACAGACACCAAAGTTAATCTGGGTGGAAAATCAGGTAGCAAAAAAAACACAAAAACACATTCCCAGAAATATACATGTACATGTATTTGCAAGTCAAGTACATCATGCACGTTCATCAATAAAAATTCCAGATCTGTCCTCTCTGTGCATTTTCACAATCTCAAGGCTGAAAACACTAATAAAGAAATAGCTTGGACCACTTCATGCTGGCCAGGACAGGAGAAGCAGAACCAGTGCCCAACTTACCTCTGCCTATTACATGAGCAGTGCAATTTTTTTTTTAACAACAGAAAAAAACAGAGAGAAAGTGCCTGTTACGATGCTGGGCTTGGAGGAAAAGCGCTGTCGGCAAAGGACACAACTGTCCAGTCAACAGGGTCAAACACTTGAGTCATGGCCACTTTACAACATCAAGCTATTGCCGGAGACCAGGACGCCAAGGTTGCAAAATACAAAGAACTACATGGTATATGTTCACTTTTTCCTTTCAAAATGATTTCACTTACAGTAACAGCACAAAATCTAAAGCAATACATAACCCGACTAGTTTTGGTTTAAACTCTGTGGATAAACTGTTTAAGAGCACACTGAAACCAAGATAATTTTTACCATCTGAGGTAACTCTAGATTTCTGGCAAGCATGAAAACCTCGTAGGTACTCTTTTCTTTTCTGAATTTATTGAATTATTACAGGAAATTGTTAATGCTAATTAGAACATTATATGTGGTTTCCCCCAGTTTAGGACAAATCAGTACCAAACGGGAAACTTTGGCCCGACGAAAAACTGACAAAAGCTGGGGGGGGGCAAGGTACCAGATTGACCAACCTTTAGGGTACTGCAATTTGTGGTTTGTCCTCTCACACCAGCCGGCCGGCTGGATGTCTGGCGAGTCGGCGTTGACCCAGAAGTCGTAGCACTCAGAATAGCCATCAAAGTGCAGCCGGATACGATAGCCCCGGACCTCGGCCACCGTCAGGACGCAGAAAAGGCTCGGGTGCTTGGGGTCGATGCCCTCCAACTTCATGCCCACCTTGAAGTTGTTTTTGCCGCTTGGGAAGGCCTGTGTGGATAGGGTATGGGTGGTGGTGGTGGGGAAGCCAATTGAGGGGGTCAACCAAAGAGTGGTTTACGTGAGTGCTGTCACTGTGGAGCATGGTTGGACAACTTAAAACACAGGCCCAAGCCTAGGACTTGATCTGACACACTCAGTACATCAACTGGACCAAGGATATTCTTTTCAGAGCATATCCATTCTTTTTTCGAAAACGTCAGGATTTGGGGGGAAACCTTTGGTGGAATTGTAAGATGTGTATATTGATGGAGTGGAGGCCTTGATTGAGTTTTCGGCTTCCCATGCTGAACAACAAATTTTGAAACAATGTTCACCTCACAAATGAGGCAATAAACAGCCACAAATCAACGGTTACATTTCAACTGATCCCTCTTGGGAACTTCTGAACCTTTCAAAACCAACTACATTATCTGCAAACCGTTCTTACAAACTTTGTGGGATGTCAGAGTGAAGCCGGCAGTGGAACAGGGGAATCTTGCATGGCATGCATACTTTTAGATTGCGCCATTTCAAGGAAAAACCAGCTCTGCAGAAGGTTTTGCTTACGTCTTTGAAGAATTTGGCTGGGGCAGCCAATGCGCGTTCCTGCTGCAGGTAAGTACTCCACGTGAAGCCTTTTTTCTTGCCTAAGAGAAGGAAAGCTTATACTTGTGAGAGGCAAACTACTATACACTCTGAGATGTAAGCTGAACACTCTCAGAGGGACTAATTATGTTGACAACATACAAGGCTAAAATTGTTTATGCAACAAAACGGATGTCGCGAATGCATTTCTACAAGTTTTTCCGTACTTTAAGGTAGACACCTGTGAATTTCACTCCGGCATTATGTACACAGAGTTCTAATGATCTCACCTGGCTTATTTGCAATGGGCGATTTGTCCATCCCTTTTATGTTAATGGTCATCTTTAGATCTCCGTGGAGGTGGGCCTGCCCGGTTGGGAAACAAACCAAAAATCAGAAAAAGTTTGATTCTATAGTTCATTCATGTAAGTGTGATGAATCAGTGGGCTTCAGCCAGCATTCCCTGTTGAGCATAGTGATGGTCTAGACCCATTGTAATTCGACTTTGTTGGCGTGGTCTGGGCAGCAGAGTAAGGATAACCCCCCGATCAAGGGTAATTCAGTCGCCAGAGGAGGACCTGCCTATTTGGCTTGTGGTGGCAGTGGGAACGTGTCTAGCTTGCTGAGGCCAATGTTTTCTGATAATGCCAATGGGGGGGGGATATCTGCAAAGATCAAGTTTCTAATTAGAAGTTACTGTGTTCAATCACATGAAGCTGTTATCTGCGTTGTGATCCATAAGTTATATGGGCTTTAAAAACACCTGCCCAGGCCACTGGGCACACAAATAGCAACCAATAAGTCAGCTCCATTTTACTGGGAGCAAGGCACCTCCAACTATTCTGAGTTCCCCACTTTAAATACAAGGGCTTGCAAATCCTAACAGGCAAAGATCATTAGCCATATTTCAAACCTCCTTCACCTTGCCTTCTGGGCCGGGGCTCTTAGGTTTACGACCCACTTTCTTCTTCAGCATCATGTTTGAACTCTTCTTCTTCTCTGACTCCTTGCGCAGGGATCCTTGCCTGCAGGGATTGAATAAAAAAACACAGGGAAACGTCCAAAAACGTTTCTATCAACACGGCCAATTACACTGGAAGCTTTCCTTTGGAAGGGGGGGGGCGTGGGGACGTATCAAGGAGTAACTTTCCAACGGGTAAAACTTCAAAGCCTAGAGTATTAGCAATACTCCACTAGCACACTTTCGATTGTTACTGAAAAAATACATATTTTTAGACAAGGAAAAGTGACGATGTAAGTTTTGAGAAATTGACTGAACCGGTTGTTGCTCAAGTGGGGGAAGGGGGGGTCAGGGAAGGATTAGGGAGGATGGGTAATCTCGGTGGTTCTCCGTACTTGCTAGCATAGGCTCCCACACAGGACTGGCTGCAGAACCGGCCTGACTTGCAGAACTCCGTAATGGGCCCTTCCTTCAAGCACTGCTCACAGACACACATTAGGGGCTTGCTGCCTGGTTGTTTCTGTAGATCATCTGTGAATAGCAGTCAGCCAATCAATTACCAACCGATGACTGACTGCCCATGATTGGTTACTGACTAGACAAGAGACAGCTGCACCTTTTTACATACAATTTTGGTGGACATACTTTTTCCTCTCTGTTTTCAATGCACATAAAACTGCATCAATGGTTAGTAGGTGTTCACTACCCTGGCTACCTGTAAACCACAAACTAGATGTACATGTACGCAAACTAGACGGAGTAATTTTTTTTCAAGCTTTACAGTCCTTTATGTACCTAAATCTGCTACCTGTCTTTACTTGGGGTGCAGATGGGTTTTGTGGACCTAAGTTTTGAAAGAAAATCCTTTCTTCAAACTCTTTCACAAATACCACTTCTGTGTCATGGAACGTTAAACATCTTTCTCACTTGTACAGTTTAAGCCTGTTTTCTTTCACTCTTTTTTGGAGGGAAAGGACAAAATGGGGAGAAAAATGTAATTACTTAGGACCTAATTAGAGGATTTTTTTTGCAACACACAAAAGAGAGATCCGAACAAGAGTTCTTGGTACAACAGCTACATGTACTTTGACCCTCCCTCGACACATAACCGATGCTTACCCAACGAGGTGGCATATTTCTTGTCGTTGTTGAAGACGGCTGACTTTTCGCTGGAGATGTCACTCCCAGCCTCGCTGGCCGGCGTGGGTGCAGGGCTCGGGCTGGGCTCATCTGCAGGCTCGATGGGGTCCGGATCCATGATCAGCTCCAGGACGCCAAACTCGTTCAACTTGAACTGCAGAGGGGGTCGGCGATAGTTCATAACCACTGCTTTATGATATTTATATTATACATACATATGGCCATGGGAAGTTTTACCACATAATACTGTCAGACAACTGCAAGTTAACTGTTTGTTGCAGGGTCATACATACCTTTAACCTAATTTGCCACCGTTACAATGAAATAGCATCCAAGTCCACTCCAGTGTAACTTAGTGAAAACCCGTACATGGCAAATTTGGTTTAAAGAAATAGTACCCAAGTGTGCGTGTGCAAATCAGACACAGATTTGAATGATTTTTGCTCTCACAGAGTTACAACACTGTTACAGAAATACAAATAAAAACATTTCCAAAAACATTTGAAAGGAATCAAAGTGTATCAAATCTGTATTCTTGTGGGATTACACCAAAATTTAATAAAAGCCTCTAGACTGACAACATGAAGATGGTACCCGTAATTTCATGTACACGAAAACCACTCAGTTCTGTCAAATACACTTGTGAGACACTCAAGTCCACTTGGGAGTTATATTGCTGTGTTGTTGACAAATTAGTAATCAACTTAATGAGCTAAAGCCAAGTTTTTCTGAAGTTGGACAACTTTTCTTATACACATCTTTTAAGCAAAGTCTGAAGACTAACTGAAAGCCGACCGATTTTTCTCACCTTCATGTCACTCCCAGGCAGGATGCCGATGCCGTCTGCATTCCATTCAATGTATTCCATTCCCTCCCCACCACAGCCCTCTGCCTCCGCCCCTCCCCCTTCTTCACCTTTGACCTCCTCATTGCCGTTCTCTTCACTATTGCTTCCTCCCTCTGGTACTGTTAACCCAGGCCCTTCTGTGGGGGCCTCCTCTTGGGTGGCTGACAGGAGAGGGTCTGTGTCGGATTTTTCGAGGGTAGGCATTTCGGCCGGAGGGAACGTGGATGTGGAATTGTTCCCTGGGGAGGGTTTTTCCGCTGTGGCATTTGGAATGACCGGAGGATCTTTGTGCATTACAAAAAAGAAAGATAGTATCTGGTGTGGTCTGTCTTCATCTGATGCGCTGCAACACTCAAAGAAATGAACCCACTGAAACTTTTCAATCACATTGTTCCTTTTTGTCACTCTTAAACTTCGCTCAAACGTAAAAAAAAAATGAAATTCAAGAGGAAACTTAAGTCTCAATCAGACTGAATTGAAACTTTGGGTAAAAAGTTCTCACAAACTCCGTTGAACCAGTCCTCATCTGAAAATACCAGACAGGGACAACAGAATTGCCGAAGTGTGTTGAACACCTGAATTTCAGAAATGTGATGTTTTTCTTTAACATTTCTAAATTCTGGTTTTACCATCTTTTTTGAAAAAAGTTGTGCATGTGTCTGTTTTTTTGTGGAGATAGCAGGATTACACTGCCATCTCTGCTGAAGTTCACCTGCATACCTGATTACAACTAACACAAGCCAGACTGGATCACGTTAGCTACACCAAATTAACCCCTGTAGGAAACATTTACCTTCATCGTCCAGTTGCTCCCCCTCTGGCACCGACAAATCGATATCGTCGCTGTCCGTGCTCTGGCCGTTCCTCTTTGCCTCGTTCTCACAGCACTCAGTCTCCGCCTCGCCGGGGTTTTCCTTGGCCTCTTTCTCCACTTTGAGTCTCCTCTTTGGCGGCTGCTCGGCCATGCCACTTTCGGTGTCGGCCATTGTGACTGCAGAAGAGTGGACTGGAATAGGAGACTAGACCGCAGCTCACTCAGATTTTTATGTGCACTTTTCACTGAAGCCAACTCCTGGACACAAAAAAGAATTTCGCTTACATGTATTAGTATAACACTGATGTGCACTTAAGAGTGTAACTTTTGTCTACCTTATTTTGACTGGTGATTTTTAACAAAAAGCTTTAAAGCTCAATCTTCTAATGAACACTCTGCATCAAGTTCACTGATCTCCTAATTTTCAGCCTTTAGGGATGCAATACCCGTAAATGACAAACAACAGAATCTAAAGAAATCTTAATGCACAGAACTAATATTCAGATCATGCCATCATGACCTTCAATAAATGTAGAAGCTAAGAGCAATCCTGTTGTGAACATTCAGTGTGAACAGAATATATGCTTTGAAAATTGTGCAAATTGTGGTGTCTCCAATACGGTCCAACCGTCTTCCTCAAGGATACCCATTCTGTGCTGTGTATGCATCACATTGCACTGTACGTGCAGCTGCGGCATACTGTGTGCTGTTGTCCTTAAGCCTCATGATCAAAGGTGTTGCTAACTGTTAAATTCAAAACATGTAAAAAAGTCAAGCATCAGTCAGCCAGGTAGAACTGTGGGTCAAAGGGCAGTTGTGTCACAATTGGTGGCGTCTTAGTACGGGGGGGGGGATTTTCCACAGAACTTGCAAAGCACCGACTCAATCCCAAAATGTTTTAAAATGCAAAAACACATGAGGCAACAGTTATATAGGCTTTAAAGCCCACTCTGATGTATGGGCACAGAATTTGATTAGTCAGGGGAATTAGCTCAGCTTGCAGAACATGGAGGGTGAGGAGGGACATGGTTGAAATGGTCATTAAACAGACTGATGAATGATAATCTCCTCTCCCCCCCTGTTTTTGCTTCTATCAGAATCTACATTTCCTCACCCGGGAAGATTCATATCTACAGTAACTGGGTACAGAGGCGGTTTATTGTGGCAACCTTGCTTGTAGTAGGTGTCTCCATTATTTTGGTCTCACATCGGTGTTGATGCTCAAAAGCCATGGATCACGACATGCACTAGTGGGAAGGGAATTGCTTTAATCTGCAGTACATTCGATTGCAAGATAAATTCACTTCCTGCAAGCAGATATATAACCATGATATTGGCCTGCAATCATGACACTTTCAAACCAGTTAAATGGTTCCTCTGTATTTGCAGTGCACATGGGCATGTACATGGGCATGTAGGCATCACCATGGAGCTATTACAGAGGACCATTTTAATTGCTCCCTGGTATCACATGCTAATCAGTTCTTTGTTGAGCCAAGATTTGACAATTTCAAATGTTCATTTCTGCTCTGTAGGTACATTCATGATGTGCACGTTCTCAAATGATTGCATTCACATGCAAACTTAATCCCTTTTGTGCGCTATTGTGTTTGACATGTACATGTACGCACCAAATACTCATTACTATCTCAAGTACATGCATGTACATGTACATGTGCTCTGCCTAACGTGTCAGTATAGGAGAATTAATGTACATGTGCAAACTACATGTATATGCATGTGCACTTCTGCATCGGTTTTTATCACGCCAAGAACATTTATAAGACACAAAACTCTAACGGAGGCTGGTAAGTCACCATGATGTTCACCGTGCTCTCTGATGGTTTTGCATGTTTTGCCAAGTCTTGACCTCTCCACTGTTCATGTGCACCAGCATGGGGGGCAGCAAAAGTGGGATTGAAACTACAGGGTGCGATATCTGTTTTGAACTAAAAATCACAGTCCGTTTTTTTTTTTTAAGTGTCAACGCCGACACGCAGATTTTGTTCCGTCCATTTTTGACAGCAAAAGGGAATGATAACATTGTACCAGCATATCGTGCCCTATTGTTTTCACTCCAATTACAGCCTGCATGCTGCTTTGCATACGTCAGATGTTTTAATGCGTTTAACACTTGCAGCAATGTTAAACCACAGGAGCAAGATGTGACTGCTCATGTGACTGGCCTGCTTCACTGAGTTTTGTGTCATAAAACAAATATTTACAAAGAACCGCATACAACTCGTGACTTACTTTTCCTAACATTAAGCAGTTAGAGACATAAACAAGCTTTCTGATGACAATTATCTTGGCACATCATAAAACAGTTTATCACTGTCAGAAAAATGTCCAGGGTTTCTGCACCTAAAGGACACATAAATTCCATGGTTTTCCCATGACCAAATTATGAAAATCTATATGACCCAATAATGCATTTTCTTGGACTATTCAGACTTTTAAAGTTGCACATAAAAATAACTCATTTTAAGCACTACTATCTGGCAATAGAAATCACACGCTGTGTTTGAAAAATTCCATGACTTAGTCATTTTTACACAATTCCATGACTTTTGCAGGCCTGGAAAACGAAAACAAATTTCCATGACTTTTCCAGGCCACGGGAACCCTGAAGGTATTGCTGCTAGAAATAACTACCAATTACACAAGCTGGTTTTCTCAAAGGCCTTCAAAAGAAAGCAAACAACAGCTTCAGTACTCACTTCCAGAGTGTCACACATGGGGCTGACACAACTATATATGCAAGGCACAATGAACATGTTAACTTACATGTGAATGTACAAACACACACAGGAGATGTACATCATGAACCCAATCATCTGTGCCCACATACATGTACAACACAGACATACGTGTACATGCATGCTCAATATAAATTGTCAAGTCTTGGTTTTGACCTTGCATGACTACTTTAAACAAGACTTAAACATTGTACATGTACATGCACAAAAATGGGCATAACTTTGAAAAAGTGCATGAAAGATAATCTCCGAGTATTTGGATATCTCCAAATAAACTTGGAGAACCAAAACAGCACAATGAAGAAAAAACCAGGGACAGATATTTTTCTAAACCCTGCATTACACCATCTAGCTATTCTGTTTAATAATTGACATGAAAACTCACCGTGTCTGCACCCAGAAAAAATTTAAGAGCTCCCCCACCCACAATAAAGTAATTAATACCTATCTACTGTTTTCAAAAATCAAAATGGCAAGGTAACAGCCCCAACTAAACATGAAGGCTTACAACTGTACGCGCCGTGATAAAAGGCAAATGATATCGTCTGGGTTAATGTTGAATGTTGCCGAGAGCACTCTTGTACGTAACTCTACCTGTGTACAGCATGCAAAGTGGAATATAGGTTCTACATCCTCAGCCATTTAGGAATAAATTATTTCTACCGTTTGGCATATTACTCCATGTGTGCTCAGGCAATTCAATTCTCCTCACACATGTTCGTCCACATGTGAGAAATACAGGAAGTCACCCCACCAAACTTATCTCGGGTAGACTAAAGGGGTCAGGAGGAAAAATGCACAGTTCAGTACATGTGTACATCGCTTTTTTTTCTTTCTTTCTTTCTTTTTTTGCAGGCCAAATTCTATTGGCTGTACCTGGGTCAGAACGGGGGTGGAAATCATGTAACAACATTTTGAGGCCGTGAGACCTGTGAAGAGCCTTTTCACAGAATAGGCAGACTTGTGAAAGTCTAATTACAGTGATTGACTCACATGAGGCTATTTGCAATAAAGATGAACACTTTCCGATCATTTAATTTGTTTTCCTTTTGCCCAAACAGTCGTGACTGTTGGGAACAACCATTTATGGTTCTGTTCATTCTATATTCTCGAATGTAGCATAAAAATTTATTATTGTACATGATTAACCTCAGACGCAAAGATACAAATAAATGACCGGCTGAAATGAATCAGCACTGTAGAGACTGCACGGTTTCCACCACGCTGTCATAGAATTGTTATCAATTGGTTGACCTTGGACCGAATGTAACCAGTCTGAACTACGACATGGGGCATGACTGAGATGAGCTCTGCTCCTATATTCATATTTTCAAAAGACACTGTGGGTCAAAATCATTTAAACTCTTCATGAAAGTTACTCTGATCAGTCATAGATGACAGTGTAGACACATCTTTTGCCTTTCAAAAATGAGCTCATTCTTATAATTGAAATCGAAAAGATTAAAAACAGACAGAATATCATGCATTTATCACTTTGTATGGCCAGGTCTCATGCTACTGATTTGAGAGGCGTCAACTTAATGTTCCTGAATTTCGCTGTCTCCTAGCTCAGCACAAAGAAATATGATTAAGAAGAGACAATACCCCATGTAAGCTTTGGTTAGTCTTCAGTATAAGTACGGTAGTTACCTCAGTGTTTATTGATATAGTTTGTATGGAATTAGGGAATGCCTTCTACTGGTTTGGTGAAACTCTAAATTGCAGATAGTCAAGCAAATTAAGCCTCCCCAACATCCTTAGTGGTGTCAAAAACTCGGTGTGTACACGTATATCTATGCAAATGTAATCATGTGAATTCATGAGCACCATTACTTGATGACAGTGTCACATCACAAGTGAATTATTGAGTATTCTTGTCTTGTGCAGTTTGTAGTGGCCAATCTAGCATTTACCGAGGGGGGGGGGAGGAAGGATGAAAGGAATGGGGAGGGGGTTCCACAAATAGAGATGAACAGAACAAGAATTAAACTGGGGCGCATAAAGTTTTACTGACAGTTTTTTGGGGGTCTTCACAGTTATTAATTTCATGTAGCCAGTCATGAATAAAAAAAGGAAACTAAGGGAAAAAAGGAAAATGTGTATCTCATTGACAAAAACAGTAAAAGAAAAACTGAATTTAGAAAAGGCACACACCAGGTGTGCCTGGGTGCTATAGCGAGCTTACATAAATATTCACCTGTTATTTTATACCAAAAATGTGTTTAAGTGAAGACAGCTAAAGCGCGTTTATGGCATCATGATACATTTCTCCATGTGAACTTAAACACAAATTCACACTTCATAAGTGAAAGAAATGTACGTCGCCCACTGTTTTTCATGCTTTTAATGAGATTAAGTAATTTTAATATCAAGTAATATTAATAAGTTGAGTTGTCTTTTCTTTTTTTCTTATTGTCTCCGATTAAAAATTTCAGTCGACAAAATTCCTAAGAACCTTGACAGGGATAAAACTTAATTTCATCTTGAAGAATCCACCCTTCAAACAAATAAGAATTCAAAAACCAGAAAAACAACAAACCATAATTTCATTCATTATAACTGAAATCATAAGCGTGCACAAACCAACACTGAATTTGCTCCACGGAATTTACAAAGTGTTTTGAAAAATGGAGATACACACGCTTAAACATTTTAAAGAAAAAAAGCCAGTCGTCTAGTAATGGCGACAAAGCACGCCAGGCCCGCACGCACAGCTGCAGTACAAATCAACTGGAGACACGTATGCGCAGCAATTCTTAGTTTCAACACTTTTTAAGCCCACAAAATGCGTTTTATTTCCACTTCACAACACACACAAACACAAACACGGCAAAACACCATAAGGAAATTAATAAACTTGCAGAAAATGACAATCTCCCCGATCTTAAACAACCTGAAAATGAGTATTTTTAATCGTTAAGAAATCTGCTCCAAGTTTCTCAACGAAAAGAAAATCCGATGCAATGCCTCAACAGCCAACATTACTTGCTTCTTTCAGAGTTGTCAACTTCCGTCACAGAAAAACCACTCTTTTACCCCAAAATGACACCAAGACTGAATAAACATGAAGGAATGGAAGGAAAAATTCACCCTTGAAGTACTGGAAAGTTGATTTTTGTTAGTAAATCGACGTTTACTGTGAAATCGAGGAAGAATATAAGCTTTGCAACACGAAAAATGTGAGGTCATTTTGCAATTTTTCCTCACAAACGTGTGCAAACGAAAACTTCCGTAACGCGCGATGTGCCTGTTTCCCCATATACGCCGGTGTATCGGGTCAAGACTCTTTACGATTTATGAACACTAAATAACTACATTGGGGCCTAGAAAACTACATAAAAGTGAAGAACAAACTTTTTCCGATCTAAACCCGTTGTACAGATAGTCTTAAAACAATTCTGAAGTAGTGAAATTTGCGAAAATCTCTCACCGTCAGGCTTGGCAAGCAGAGGCCATGCCGTGCTTCGTCAGCGACCAAATGGCGGCCTCTCATTTGCATAACAAAATAGCTCTTACCGTAATGGCGTACCACCCCCGCCGTACAGTCAGACTGAGTTCGGGAAATTCAGTTTAGTTGACTAAAATTCAGTATTTGCGCCAAACATTACCCCCAAGGGAAGCTAGAATTAATGTACTTATGTCTTCGATTATTTTTCATCCGTTAAACAATTGGAAACACGACAAAAAGCGGTGTTTGAATAAGACGTTGCGGTCAGTTACTCTACACCAGGGGCCTACTACATTCGACATGTTCACACCCTGTACAATGTGCATGTACTGTATATATACACATGTACTGTACATGTACATGTAC